TATATATATATATATGTATGTATATGCTACTTACTCTTGTTGTAGCTTCTGGAGTTTCTCCTTCTCTTCCTCTTCGATTTTGTTTCGGATATTAACTCTCTATCAAAGATATCAATAACAATTCTATTAGGCACCATTCTTAATAAGCATAAAGAATAATGGAATGAACAATTTAAGAGACTAAATTACCTTCTCGACATATTGCTCTCTCGTAACCAAACCAACAGTTTCCTTCTTAAATGCAGTCTCGAGAATCTGAAGAAACAAACAAATAAACAAAAGTAAGAAAGATGAATCGAATGAAATTAAAAGGTTTCAAAGAAAAACTCTAGGGTTAGAAATTCTAGGGAAAAAGAAAGAAGTCGGACCTCGGAAGTACTTGAGCCGAATTGGAGGAGACCAGGTTGGCCCTTACCAGAAGCGGACTTGGTTTTAAGCTCTTGAATTTTGCGGCGCTCGGCTTCTCTCTGCTTCTCCAGACGCCGGATCCTCACTGCATCTTGGGCCGTGCCCACGTAGCCGTCTCCCATGCCCGACATCTTCGGTTTCTTCCTCCCTTTTTTTCCCTCGCTTTTTTGGGTTTACGCCTCTCCCTACCCGAGCGCCTGTTTTTTTTTTCCCTCTCTTATGCCACTCTTTCTCTCGTAGATGAAGAGAGAATGAACTGCGTAGACCGCCGACGTTTTATTTGCTTTGTAAGGATTTTTTTTTATCTGAGTTTTCTAAAATAGCATGCACCGGGCCTTTGACGATTCACTAACAAAATTTCCCCATTTTAAGCCACCCAGGGAAATCCCAAGTTTGGGATCTTATTAATTTACCAAAAATAGTTTTGGGTATGATAAATTTTAAGAATAGTTTGTGAAAAAAATAACATAATATTTAAAAAACCTTTTGATTATTTAGAAAATTTTAAATATTTGTTTATTTTTATACTTAATTAAATTTTTATATTTTATTTTAATTTAAATAGATTCTACTAACTAATAATTAATTAACTATTATTAATCAAAATATTATTTTTTATTTTATCTAAAGTGACATAGTGATGTGTTATAATAAATGATAATATTATATTATGATATAATTATATAACATTTTCATTTTTTACATTAACATTACATAAATATAAAATGGTAAGTATTGTATTGATTAATAACAATTAGTCAATTGTTAATAATAAAAATCTATTTAACTCAAAATAAAATTACATGAACTTGATTAAAAAAATAAAAGAATAAATATATATTTAAATTTTCTTAAATAATTTTGACATAATATCTTAAAAAGACTCTAAATTATTTAAAAAAAATTAAAATAAACTGTTATATTTTTATTAAGTTCAATCAAATCTTTATATTTTTATTTTGAACAAAATAAACCTTTATTATTTTATTTTGAGTCAAAAAAAATTATAATTGATAATTAATTTATTTAAAATATCACTTATCATTTTATATCATGTGATGTTGATATGATATTAATGTGGCATATAAACATGTCGTACTAAATGATGATATGATATGATGACATGATCATATTTCATTTTTTACTATTTACGTCAATATCATGTTAATATTGCATAAATATAAAATAACAATCGACATTTTAATTAATTATCATTAATCAACCATTAGTTATATCATTAGTCATAAAAAATTATTTGATTAAAAATAAAAATATAAACCTTTGATTGAATGTAATAAAAAATAAAGATTTATTTAAATTTTTTATTAGCATTTTTAGGCATTATGTCATAATCTTTTCTATATTTTAGCCGACTGTTTATAAATTCTTCTGTATTTTTTTGTAAAAAATTAATTTATATTTATAAAATCTAAATATTAAATCATATACTTAACGAACCAATGAAAATAATATAAGAGTTTTTATATTTCAAGTTGGATATAAGATGATAATGATAGAAATAAATAGTCTTGACTTTTGTATATATATATTAAATTAAAAATATAAAATATAAGCTTTTCAGTGTAAAAGATGAATATCGATTTCGTTTTCTAAAATTATGATAAAATGTAATTATATTAAATCTTAAAAAAACCTTTAGAAGGTTTTTTTTTTTATCTCTATGAACAATAAATAAGCTTGGCATCTTGAGATCAATTTACCCATTAACACGCTATAATGAAAAAAACAAGGATTAAAAGATTAAACTATTACGTTTTTTATTAATTTAAAACTTTTTTCAAACATTTAATCATGATCGTAATTTTTATTTAAAATTCGAAATTTGGTCTTATCATCTATAATGAAATAAATGAGTTATTAAACTATTAAGATAAATTTTGTACTTATGAAATTATTGTTATTGGTACCACTTATATTTTTTTAATAAATTTATTACAATGAATATCCATTTTATATATAAGGGAAACATGGTCAAATTATGTAATTAGATTTTATATTTTATTAAAATGAGAAATTTAATCTTTATATAAATAATTTGTAAATTTTCAATCTTCGTATACTTTAAAATTGACAATATTAATTCAATAAAGTTGTATTGACGTGATTTTTTTTATTGATGTGATATTGAGTTTGATAATATGGTAATGATGATGTAACATTTCACAAATAATGTAATAATGGTGTAAGTATTGAAATAGATTCTATTGGTGAGAGTGTAAAATTATCTAATGTGAGGTAAAGATTTTAAATAGGATAAAAAAACAAATTGAAAATACAAATAGTATTTTAAGATTTAAGGAAATAGTGTTGTAAGATAAAGATAAATTAAATTTTTGTGTTTCATAATTTAAAGTAATGAAAAAACATTGTGAAATAAGTAAAAAAATATTACTACATTAGCATTAATAGATTATCTTATTCAATTTCACATTAATAAAAAAAATTATATTGACATAAATTGTAGAAAAATTTAAATATGATTAAGAATTGGACTAATATTATTAATGTTAAAAAATAAAAAATTTAATTTTTATACATTATTATATAAAAACTAAATCTATGACTTTTGTTAAAGAATGGCTATTAATTGTATAATTTAATCAAAAAAATTATAAAAGCCAAAATCTAAAATCAGATAAAAAAAATCACAAAACGATTCTGTGGGTCACAAAACGACGAACTCTTGGGCTCCGATAGGCTTCTGCAGTCGTGGATTTCCAATCAAAGAAAGGCAAATAAAGCGAAGAAACAAAAAAAGGAGGACAGACGTGAAATCGTGAAGCGACTTTCCGGTCATTCAAATCATGGATCAACTCAAGAACGACGCTGCTGCTTTTGTTCAATCCATTCAATCTTCAAATCCTTCCATCATCGAGTTTCGTCAACCTCCTATCGACCCTCGCGTTCCCTCCACGACCCGTACGCAACCCAAATCCAGGTTAGGTTCCTCTTAAACTCCTTTTTTTTTTGTTTCCAATTTTAACTTTCCAATCAACAATTGAATTCTTCTTTTTTGGTGTTAATTTAACTGATTGTGATACTTTGATTATATGTTTTTTTGCAGCCAAAGGGTTGAAGGGGAAGCAAAGGATTTCCTTGCGGCGAGAAAGCTTCAAAAGGCTGACCGTGAGAAATTGAGAAGAGACCGCCTTAATGAACATTTTCTTGAGTTGGGAAATGCACTTGGTAGATTTTTAGCTTTCTTTAAAAATTTTAATTTTTTTATGATCCCGCCAATAATTTTTTATCGTACTACTAGATGAACAAATTTTACACCAGCATATATGGCTAAATTACTTGGTCTATAGAGTTTGATTCGTATATCAAGATATAGTTTCTACTTGCTTATTCTTTAGCAGTAGTATTAGGTCTGAGGAGTTGAACTTTACTTTATTGTGACCATACATATGATATTTGATTGAAATGGTAGTGCCAAATGCTTCCAGGTTATGGACAATGTTAAATTTTCTCTGGTATTATTAGGGAAGTTGTAAAATTCAAATAAAACAAGATTTTATTTAAATTGGGATTTTGCCTAATTGAGATTCTGCTTGAGGATATGATTAACTGAACTTGTTCATAGTTCTAGTTATTTTTTTTTCCTTGACATTTTGAATGGTCATTGGTCATGCTTATTTGTTTGCACAATCCAGATCCTGATAGGCCCAAGAATGACAAAGCAACCATTCTTACTGATACACTTCAATTGCTGAAGGATTTGACGTCTCAGGTCACCAAGTTGAAAGCAGAGTACGCTATGCTAACTGAAGAATCACGTGAGGTATCTTTGATCCATTTTACTTGGAGGATGGTGCTTAGAATTGCATAACTCATTTGATGGGGATCTTAAATGCGCTTTACTTTATCTGGATGCAGCTGACACAAGAGAAGAATGATCTCAAAGAAGAGAAGGCATCTCTTAAATCTGATATCGATAATCTTAATATTCAGTATCAGCAGAGAGTCAGGACTTTGTTCCCATGGGGCACTGTAGATCACTCAGTTGTCATGGCCCCTCCTTCTTATCCATTTCCAGTACCTATGGCAATGCCTCCTCCAGGAGCTATTACTATGCATCCATCCATGCAGCCCTTTTCTTTCTTTGGGAGTCAAAATCCTGGGGTCATTCATAATCCCTGCTCAACTTTTGTTCCATATATGACTCCTAATACCATGGATGAACAGCAGTCAATGCAGCATGTTGCTCCACTTGCACAACCGGGCAGTCAGTCCCATGCTTCAGGTAAACAAGATTCAAAAAACAAGTCCTCAGGGGAGAGCAAGGTTGAAAAAACTGTGGATTCGAATGACGTTGCTACTGACCTTGAGTTGAAAACACCTGGTTCTACAGCAGATCAGGTTGGTTTGGAGTTGTAGATTGGTTTGTAGTGGTCCTAGTGGATATAATATTTTGTTATGATTGTAAAGATAATTATTAGGATATGCTGCTAACTTAATGGTGTATATCTGCAGGATTTATCATTGGGGCAAAGAAAGTTGAAGAAATCTTTAAGGAAGGAAAACAGTAATACAGAAGGTAGTTATTCAAGTAGGTGTTCTTCATCTCATAGTGCACAAGATAGCTCGTCCACTAGTATAGTTGGTGGCAGAAAAGCTGATGACCTAGATGGGGGAAAGGACTGATAAGCACCTGAGCCAGGTTGTTTCCAACTCCTGAACACCATCTTTTCCTTTTATTCTATGCCCATGCCCTAGTAGTTCCTAGTTTTTCCTCCGCTTTAGAATCTAATTAGTTGCCTACAAATTGAATCACTTCACTTATATCACGATGGTGTTAAAGGCTGGGGTTTTTTTCCTGCATCTCTCTTCCTTGAGATTTAAAGGATGGTGGTGATGATCTTCTATGCCCTCTATTTCTGGGTGAGAAGATGTTCCAATAGATGTAATGAGTAATGTAGGAAGTTATGGTTGTAAAGAAGAAAAGATTACTAGGTTGATCTGTATGTAATTCTTTTATGTAAAGTTTATACTTTTTACATTCTAATTGTGTCTCAAGTAGTTCAGAAAGACAAAAAAATTCTCTCAAACCTGACATCCTAGTGGAAAAATATCATATAGTTGTTGACAAAATACCTAGATTGCTTGTGTTTAGGTCATAGTTCTATAGTATGTCAATTTCAATTGATTTGTTTGATAATATTATGTTGTTTTGGCAACAAAGTATGATCTAGCTACATTGGAGATTTTATGCTCGCTGTTGTTAGAGCAGTATCGTACTTGGTTAAATGGATCTTTTGCTTCAGGTTCCATATAAAGAATATTTACTTTTAAATGCTACACATCTGTGAGTGTAAATGTCAGTGACTCAGTTGCAGTTGATTAACAAGTAGTTCTTTTAAAAGTTTGCAGTGAGTTGCTGCTTCTGTGGATTTTGTTGAAGTTTATTCCCTTGCCAAATGTCTTGCGTAGCTTAAATTAATTACAATGACAAGTATACGAAATTGACAAAGTATTGAAATGGGTGTGATGCTTTCTCACCTCCAATGGTATGCCTTCTATATAGGAGGAATAAAGGGAGCTGGGGTTATAAAGTGGAAATGTACTTTAATGCAAAACCAACAACAAAAAAAAATAATAAAAGAAGGAAAAAGGTGGAAAAGTGTTCGTGTCAGTTGTGTGTGCATATATATAGGCAGGCAGCTATAGTTAGAAGTTCATAGGCCAGAGATATGGTGGCAAGAAAAAATTGAAGATTAAAAATGATTGTAAGAAGAAAACATGGAAGATAAGGTTGAGAATTGTTGGGAAATCATTGGTCTTGAATGCTCAAGATAGAAAACTGTTATCCCATGAAAGTATTTCATTCTACCCTTGCCTCCCTTTGTCTGCTTTGTTTGGTGGTGAATAGGAATGAAAAATCCTCATTTCAGTTGTGAGTTACACTCTTCAGCCAAGTCCTCTAGTACAGTCTGCCCCATTGTTGCGTTAAGTTGAGCTTTGATTGAATGAGCCTCCATTGGTATTTTGCAATATTGAACCTAGGCTAGTAGGCTTCATAGCAAATCCAGAAATTATTTTGAAAGACTGCCAATGGTCTTCGATCTTCAGCTCATTCACTCACTAACTGGTGGCAGGTCATGGGTTATCTACCACACGGGATTAGGGGGGGGGTGTTGGGGTGGGGTGGGGGTGGACCCCTCCTCGACCAATTATCTTTTCATTGAGTTAGACCAAAGACCAACAAGGTCCCTATATTATTTTGCCAATGCTTCAATCCAATGGCGATAGCGACCTTTGTCAGGATTTGGATGAGAAGCACTGGCTTATCGTATAATAGTACACAGAGGGGTATGCACAAAAAGCTAAATGCTTAGCACGCTTAACATACTATCGTCAATATGTCTCGAAAATCTTTTGAAGGAGGAAAAAAGAAAGACAAAGCAGGAGATTACCGTGATCTCACTGTCCCAACCATCTCGACCGTTTCCCTGGACTGTTTTTTTCTTGAAAGAATGGTGACATCTACAGGCAGTTTCACCATGTCAGGTTAGAACCGACCATGATTCTTTGTCCCTGAGACTGTTTAACGAGCTAAGTTCGCCACCAAACCGTCACGACATCGATTAATCTATTAGCAACCTTAATCGGGCGATTAATTTATTGTGGTTTAAGACCTTAGGGCGGGGATTTATTAGATGTTTCAATTTTACTAATAAGAAGACAGAAAATCCACGTGTACGGTATCCCAAAACTCGTCACCACAGACTCACGAAGATTCAAATCGCTTTATCCACACTCTTCTTCACTTGTGTTAAACCACGTGGCAGCAGGAGAAAAATTCTCGATGCTACGATATTATCCTACCAGCAAACAGGTGAGGCGTGGAAATCCAGCGCACAGCTTTAAACGGCATCGTCTCCTCCGAGAATTCAGTTTACCTTTGCCAAGGGTGTTTTCTCGTTGAAGGGCAGCGACAACTGCGAACCATGAAAGTGTCGATTTTTTTTGGTTAGATAAATGCTATCCCCAGCGCTCCTCATTCACGTGACATCACGTACCTCTCTCTCTCTCTATATGCCAATATGAGCTCAAAAAAGAAAATATTCCCATCAATTATAAACCTACCAACCTCATTATGTTTTTCAAAACATAATTAGATAGACTTAATATCTTGTGTTTTCAACTTAAAAAATGTTGGTAGGTTTTATTCAATTAATATTTTTAATAAAAAATTTAAAAACAAAATAAGAAACAAAGAGTAAGTTTATAGTAATATTTACCCTAATATGAATATAGAGTACGTAAATTTTTTTGGATTACAAATATATTGGATGATATATATATTTTTTCTTTAAAGGAACGATATAACATAACCTAACAAATTTTCAATTTTCAATTTTCAATTTTCATCACCACCAACCTAGCTGGAGCGTGCACTCGACGCTGTTCAAAGCCGCGTGAAACTCACAGATTCGGTGCTTGACAACCCTGCGATTACACTATAAACAAAACATAGATCCGAAGCGAACACCACAACTTTAAAACCTCCTCACCTCACTTAACCCGGCAGCAGCCACATAGCCCCAAACTCAGCCGACCAAACTCAAGAAAAAGGAAAAGAGCCTCAGTTGGAAATGGCGATGGTATCTACGTATTGCCCACAGTTCAGTGGACTTCGCCGATCATGTCTGAAACTCGACATCTCACAATCTCAATCTTTTGTTCAACACATCAACTCTCAACTCCGTCTCTCCTCTTCTCGCAAGCCTTGCAGAGCTGTTGTTGCCATGGCCGGCTCGGGAAAGGTACTGCTAGCTATTTTCCTTTTTTAGATCTATCTTTAATGTATTTAAGACACTGCAGGTAACCCACCGCTCTCCTTTGTTTTATTTATATTTTTTAGCCGTTTTGAGGAAATGTGTAATGTATAGATGATGTTGGTAGGTTTTCTGTTTGTGTTCTTTCTCACTTATTACTTAGCAATAATAAAAAAATTAAGTTTAGATATTGATAAGAAAACAATGGGCTAACCTGCTTAATTTGTCTTTATGTTCTTAAGTGAATGTGCAACATTTTTTTGTTGCAAATGAATTTAATAATCTTTGTTGAGGTTATATTTCTTTCTTTTTGAAGCGAATGAGCATTAAGCAAAAGATTTCTCTACATGCTGTGGCCTGTTTGCTAACTCCTTTTGTAGTAATGGTGTTTTCTTTTTCCCTCTATTTGGTCATTTATTAAGTAATCTTTGTCTCTTTCTTTTACCTGCAGTTCTTTGTTGGGGGTAACTGGAAATGTGTAAGTACCCTTTGTCACAAATATTATACTGTCTTTATTCTCTTTGTCAATTCTTGGTTTTCTTCTACTGGTCAGTAGTTTTGAACAAATATCATGTGTTCATGACTCCGGCATATGTTTGTCAGCATCTCCACCTACATATTAGCCAATTTTTCTAAAGTGTTTTTTCTTTTGGGTCTTCCTTTAGAATTTTCATGGTTATCTGATGTGGAATTATCTTCCTAAGCTTTTTTGATTATACTTCTCGCCTAGGTTTGTTATGACCTTAGTGCCAAGTAGACTCTTGCAATTTTCAATTTAGTGTTGTGTTTTCATGGTGGTTTCTTCTCCTTACCCCCACTGTCCCCATTTTCTTTTTATCATTTTAATTATTTTATATCAAAATGATCTCTTGTTATTGTTAATTTTGTGCATTTTCCCATGATTTATACCTTTCAAAAGTTTCTCTGACTCTTTATAGATTCAGATTCTTCAAGATTGTCATGCACTCTGCTAACTCATTTTGTGAATATATTTTTTTATTTGTCATATCAATATGAATTTCACACTTTATTTATTGTTAAGCTAGATTTCACAACACTTGCATGGCTATCTTATTTGTTCTTTTGTTTAATTTCCTTTATTGATGATGTTATTTTGTTTTTTTAGAATGGAACAAAAGACTCCATCACAAAGCTTGTTTCTGACTTGAACAGCACAACATTGGAGTCTGATGTTGGTAATTTACTGCTTTTTCACTTTTTTGATTTGTGTTAGATGTTGAATCTATTATGGAACTAGGCTTGGGGTTTATATCTCTAATGGCTCAAAGATTTGCAATCCTTTTGTTGTATTGCTGTCAATACTATCATTTTTCATATGCCCTCTTAGACAAATGCTAATTCTTGTGCTTTCTTTTAAGCAATTTGTATAATGTTTCTTAATTCTTTTAACTAGAATTTTCTTAGTGCATTCAAGATGCCATGTAGTTTTAAATTCATGAAGTTCATTGATATCATGTTAAATATTATGAAGATTGCTGATATTCATGCTTGTTGGACAGATGTTGTTGTGGCACCTCCTTTTGTCTATCTAGATCAGGTGAAAGCTTCATTAACTGATCGAATTGAGGTATCTGCTCAAAATTCTTGGATTGGAAAAGGTGGGGCTTTCACAGGTGAAATCAGGTTAGCTAACTTTTGCTTGACGAGCAGAACATGTTAATTCTTCATTGTTTTCAAGCCTTTAACATAGTTATATCGGTCTTTTACGCTCATATTGGGAGTGTAAACCACATAAGTTGAAGTTATACGTGGAAGTGACATGGACAGAAGACTCAAGACTTATTGTCTTTTGCTCTACTGCTTCATTTTACCAACACATGTTCCCCTTTTCACTGTGTAATTTCTTGTTTGTGTCAACGGTAGTGGCTCAGCTTTAATCTACCTATAAAATTATGTTTAAAATATACAGGAGTTCAATTACTTCTGATGTTATCTCAACATGCTTAGTTTGGTGCCTTGATTTGAGTGGCATATTTGTTCTTTCAGGTGGATAGGTTTCAACTTTTTTAGTTCAGGTCATTATTAAATATATATTTTATATCCCTTATTGCTACCAATTCTGTTGATTTCTAGGGAAAACCAAAAGAGAAGTAGTTGTTCTTGTGACCATATCTCTTTCCCAATCCCTTTGTTCATTTAAGGTGTGATAATTTTGAATAGGACCTAAGTTTCAGATTAACAGGCCATCTAGGTTTTTTTTTTTTTCCTGTTTCTCAATCATAGTGGAAGCTATTTGGTAACCTTCATCTTTGTGTAGGTGCGGACATTTTTTTCCACATATGCTAACTGTTTTGATCGAGTTATTGCACCTCTATCCTTGCCTTTAATATGATTCATCTGATTCTTTCCATAGTGTGGAACAATTGAAAGATATTGGCTGCAAGTGGGTCATTCTTGGGCATTCTGAACGCAGACATATTATTGGTGAAGATGATCAGGTAAAGGTTTAGTCATGTATGTTCTTCAGAGGAGTCAGAGGGCATTGCTGTTTGTGTTAACTAATACAAAGTATGAAAAGATTTAGAACTTGACTAATGGTTTGTTGTCTTCAGTTTATAGGAAAGAAGGCTGCTCATGCTTTGAAAGAGGGTCTTGGAGTAATAGCTTGTATTGGTGAATTATTAGAAGAAAGAGAAGCAGGCAAGACTTTTGATGTATGTTTCCAGCAACTGAAGGCTTTTTCTGGTAAACTTTCTTGACCTTTTTGTGGTATCTCTTCCTTTCTTTCCTCATGAAATGTCATTTTAGCTTATATTGTGAAGACTGAAGAGGAAAAGCCTGTGACCTAACTCCAATGATTCCATCATTTGCAGATGTTGTACCCAGTTGGGACAATATAGTTATCGCTTATGAGCCTGTATGGGCCATTGGGACTGGTAAGGTGGCTACACCCCAGCAAGCTCAGGAAGTACATGAAGCTGTCCGTGATTGGCTTAAAAAGAATGTTTCTGAGGAGGTTGCATCTAAAACGCGCATTATATATGGAGGTAGCTTAGATACTATCTTATTCTTGGATGTTGTTTATAAATAGTGGATGTTTTGTTTAAATTATCATGCCTCTTCCTTGCAAGTGGTAATTTATGTGATGTTAAATATATGTGAGATTAATGCATGAAGAGAGAGATTCTATGACTGTATATTACTAAGGATCCTTGTTATTTATACTGGCATGATATCATCGTTTGTGTGATCTTATTTGCATGATTGTATTTGTGTAAATTTCAGGAAGCAAAATGTACTTGCCTAAATTTAGTTTTAGAGAGTATTCTTCATATTTTCACCTTGCCATGATCTGAGGAAGGGGACTGTGTATTATTATGCCAAGTTTGATTAAGTTGTTTTGGGGCTAATATGAGGCTCATCTATAAGATATAGTGCCGTCAGACATGAAAGCCGAATGGAGCATTGACCTTTTGTGCTAGGAATTAGTGTTGTCAATTTCATCAAGCTTGTGAGAATGTCCTATTGTTCTAGATCTAATGGTGGTTGTCTGTCACTCCTTATGAGCTAATCACTTCTATATTTCTTTTGCAGGGTCTGTGAATGGAGGCAACTGTGCTGATCTTGCAAAAGAAGAAGATATTGATGGGTTTCTTGTTGGTGGTGCTTCCTTGAAGGTACATTCCTACTATTCATTCTGTTTCATAATGTTATGGATAAAATGTAACTATGCTCTGCTTAGAAGAGAGCTTAGGATACTGAATGTTAAATCAGTTGCGCCAGTGCTGATGACTATATTCTAATCTTGGTGTTGCAGGGCCCTGAGTTTGCTACAATTATCAACTCTGTAACATTCAAAAAGGTTGCCGCTTAAATATAAAAGGAGGGTTATAGTAACAAATAAAGGACAGAGAGAAGCTATTGCAGGTTGAAGCTTCATGCGACCTATGAGTTAGTGTTGTCCAATGGAGTTTTGATTACTTATTGAGTTCTTTTTTTCCCCCTAATGATAGGGAAAATCTGTTGTGTCTTCTAGTGTACCATAATAAGTTCATTTCTTTAATATGCTATGGGCACTATACATAATTCACTGACATTGAAAGAGTGCATAGGATTTGACCGTTTGGCACTCCAAATGCTAACTGCTTAATTCTCATTTGCTAATTTAAACTTCATTTTCTCGTGTGGTTCTTGGAAATTCTGGATGGAATCAAGGAAGACACTTGTTTTCTGTAGTACCTGGAACATGTGATAGTTTTCATCATTCAGATTTGATTTTGGTATACTTAGGTACTTTCTAGTTTTAATCATAATGGGATTCTGCTTTGTCTTGGTGCGTTTCCGTTGGATTTTGGTTGCAAATCTTTCAACCCCCATGTATGTGATCTATACTGTGAAAATTTGCTGTTGAATGGGGACTCAACACCAGAAATGTGGTGAGTTGAACACGATGAGTCTTTATTCCCCTTTTGGCTTTTTTCTTACGATGTTAATGCTCTTTAGTTGCATCAGCTAAAAAAAGTGACAGCTCCTGGCACCTCCCTTGGTACAAGAATATAATTGGATACCAGACACTTGAGTGTCATCTAATCTAACGATAAAGTTGTCAGGAGAGCATTAACACTCAAAGAATTTATGCCAAAGCAAACCTTACGGATTTATATCAGAGCAAGCTTACAATCTATGAAACTATCCGAGTCTTCTAGCAGGGAGTAAAAGAGAGGAATGGAGTGGGTCTATCCCAGGAGGAGGGGTCCACCGTGGAAGCAAGGGTGGACAGGCCAGACCCTGTCCTCCGTTTCTGCACCACCTCTCCCTTTGCTTACTACTTTTGGCATTGTCATGGTCTTGCTCTGGCTCTCTCACCACACCGACTACAAGGCCCAGTTACATCACAGCGCAATAAGCCTCCAGCTATTCATTGTTCTTTTACCATTTCTGCTAATCTTGTTCATGATCTCATTTTCATCCAGCGGAAGGCTTGCTTTTTGGCAGCAGCGTCTGGAGTATGAGACAGTTCACCGATCCGGGGGCTCGCCTTGGGGCATTGCCATGCTGGTGGGGGTTGTGTTGGTGCTGCTTTCTTATCAATCTTCATTCCACTCCAAATGGTTTGGACCTCTCTGGAGGTCGGATTAGTTAGCTTGAGTAAACTAAGAAAAAAGGCCCTATACTAATATTCATGATGCGTGCCTGTTTATGTTAGGCCTTGTTTATTTAAGAATACTAACTCTTGCAGATTTTCTTGAAATGCAAAATATTCAAACCCCTGGTTGATTATAGTCTTTAATAAACAACTTCACTCTTGTTCTTTCAAAAGAAATTGGTGGTCATCGAACAATTCCACCAGATGCAATTCCAAGGGGCCATCATTTTTGTGACTAGAATTAGCACCGACCCTACAAGCACGATGAGTCACGGCTCGATAAACACTGGACCACGTAGCCAGGGGTAGGTTTGAATGATTGATTAATTGTTACCATCATCAAGCCATAAAAACAGCTCCTTCTGCCATGACTCAGAAAACTCGACACAGAAGGGCGGGACAACATGAAAATGACGTTTAACTTTGGTCGACGAATTGAGAATCAACACCGGGATAACCGGGGATTTTTCAAATACCATATCCCAGATAAATAAACGCTGATTTTCTGCCATTAGGGACAGTGCCACTTCTGAATTTTGGTGCTGGTGATGTCATGGGTTGTACCCATGATTTAAGAAAAGTTAAATAAATACCTTGGACTATCTTTTGTCTTTGCTTATTCCTTATACATCACTTTTCACTTTATTTAATACCAGTGATATTCATTGGTTAAATTGTGGTGCATCATAAGGATCATGGTCCACCTGCTTACGGATGCCATTTAGTTTGTTACTGTTACATCACTCGGTGCTATTTTCCATCAGCAAAACACTTACAATGCCTTGAGACAGGATTCATTTTTAGTATGAATAGTTCCACTACTCTGCTTTTGCATCATGGACAGGCAAATTTGCAGTAGTACATATTTTTGTATGATAAAGTATGCTTTGTGTTCTCCTTTTTCCTCTGAACTTTGAAGAAAGCAACTATTTAAGAATGATTTTGCTTGGTCTTATCATCATTGTTATGGCCAAATTATTGTGACAAGTGAATAATGCTTTTTCTTTTCTCCCTGAAGAACTTGACTAATGGTTAGCTTGATACATAAGTTACAGATAACTTGTCTTTAGAGACATTAACAAGTTCTACGCAATCAAGCAATTACCACAACTATATTACTAAAAAAGATTTCTTTCCTTGGGCTTCCAGTCAAACTCAGGGTTGGGTTTGCTTGAGACGGTACAAGAAACATACCTAAATTTGGAACCTTGGACTTCAATAATCATTGCAGACAATTCAAGAAAACTAAGCTCTCACTCTACGGATCAAATAAGGTTATTTGGGTCTATATTAGGAAACTTTTTTCTTGACTTAGGAACTGAAACACCATAAGCTTCAAGGTTATACCACTCAATTTTCTGAGATTAATCCAAAATAGGGGCAGATTTCTCTGTGCAACCAAAGAAATATGATCAAGAGAATCTATGTTAGTTACTTCAACCGTCAGAAAACCAGTCTTTTTAAACATGAATCCAAATCCCAATTGTACAGCAACTTCATCTTCTCTATTAGTATTATTTACAGTACAACTATGTATGCTACCATACATGCTTATCTTCCATCTGATAAAGGCAAAACCCAGTTCACTTAATCACACATCAAACTGCTAATAACTCCACCAAAGAAAAGAAATAATAACATAGTTCTTTCAATCTATAGTACGATAGTATCATACCAGCCAGCTCTCACGAAAAACTGACTGATACTGCACCAAAATCAACAGCAACACTATGAAAGCAGCCACAGCCCATGGTGAGCTACCCTCTGAAGGACGATGGTGAGTTCGCTGGCGACGTTCCCATGGTGATGAACCAAATAGCAGATCAGAGGTTTCCACAGATGAGAGCCAACGAGCTAGGAATATTAAAACCACCGGTGTGGCCAAAAGCACCCAACTCATTTGCTCTTCAGCTGTTTCCAGAACTGATTCATAGTTAACGTACCATGAAATTCCAAGAAAGATCGACGTCACTGCTAGGATTAGCAGAACTGGATATGGCAGGGGACTTAAAGAGAATGAATCAAAGATAGAGTCTCCTCTTCTATAATAGGCCATAAAGAGGTCTGTGTATTTCTATGGTGTGTGAATTCGAAGAGGGTCTGTGAGGAATCGAAGGCCCTGTCTATTTATAGCCAAAATGGGTGTCTGATTTTGTGGTTCACAGCTTAAACTCAAGTTTTACCAGGGTACTACTGGACCGTTAGATTGCTTGTTTTCATTTGTCCATGGATATGTCCGAATCTATTTGGGTTCAGGTTTGCACTTGGCAAACGTGGGACCCTATTGGGCAGAAATTAAGGACACGCCGGTGAAATATACTTTGTTGTATTTGTCTCGTTCTCTTCATTTTTCATTTGGTAGGTAGTAACTATCAGTATCGATCTCGTTTTAAACGTAAAAAGAACGTTGATAACCCTGGGTGAAAGTGATACCATAATTGAAAAAGTAAAAGGTTCAAAGGTTACTCTCTCAAAGGTTGCCCCACAGGCTCTCTCAAAGATATGACGAAGCTGGTATTCTGATAAACTGCATTCAAAACGGTGCTGCCTGGACATGGTTTGCAATCTCAAGAATGATTAGGATGAGAATATTGCCCTAACTTTGAACAAAAAGAAAAGGAGAGAAGTGGGGGAGGGGGACGCTCCATGCTAACGACTACAAGCACCTTGGAATTTGTTTAGAGTCCTCTGAATTTAGTCATTTATTTAATTTATTGTCTTAATTTGGTAAATAGAAACTTTGTTTGTGATAAATGATGTTTCAGTAATTCAGGTTCATATTTCCTCTCTTAATAAATATATTTTGAATTGAAAATATAAATTTATAATAAAATATTATTAAAATTTATTTAATTTTTTATTAATATGATATTTTTCATTAAAAATATTAAAATTGATGTAAATTTCTCTCATCAATAGGTGAAAGAGTTAACACAATAAAAGTATTACATAATTATTCACAAAAGATATTAAGATTGAATAAATTTTTTTTCTTAATGGGTTAAATAAATACTTTTCTGTTTGATAAATATATCTTTTGATTTGAAAATATTAGATTTGAACATTAATTTTAAGTTAAGATTAACTTCTTAAAACAATTAAAATTATGAACTGTGATACGGATGTTGGAAATATGGGCAATGAACATCCAAATGCCAGTTAAGATTATGAACTGAGATATGGATGTTGGAAACATGAGCAATCATGCATTGCTTGCATGTATACACAGCTCCATGAAAGAGCAAATGGAAATTGCAGAATGGCCATGACGGTGGGAAGTTATTGAGTTGTTAGTAATCTAGGTTCATGAATCAACCGACCCATCCCAATTTAACAAGCAATTAATATGTTACCTGCCTCAGAAGTCAGAACCCATATAGGCCATAAAACTAAAATCCAAAAAGAACCCATTCATGCTCCGTCCTCCCAAAAACTGAATAAGCAAACAAATAGAGAAAAGGAAGACATTTTTTGCAGAAACCAATTTCTATTCATTAGTCTTGAATGACACCATACCTCATACTACATGATACATCTATGCCTAAGATTTGACACTGATTTTCTTCAATGGTTGCTGCATAAATGAGACAGTCATAACCCAGTAATTTAAAACACAGTTTGATTTGAATAATGATTGTGGGGATAAGGATTGACCTAATATGGGCCAACTTTCCATGATAGAAAACTGTTCATCCTTTTCCTGATATTTGATATTCGTTCCCCACATTAATCTAACACAGTTATCTACCAAAGTTTACAATTTGGTAAATGTTTATTAATCAGATTGCTGGATCCCATGGCGGAGTTGGTGACAACCAACTGCTTCTTTCTTGATCCTTTGTCAACTCTGATTCTATTTCTCTTGATACTAACAAAAGGTTTGTTGTTCCTAGAAAGTATGACACCCAGGCTTATGGTATGGTCGGTGACGAGAGTCACAAGACAGGGCTTCAACACCGTATTTGGTCAATTAGAATCGGAATGTCTATGCTAACGCTTTTTCTTTTTAAAAGAAACAGATGTCTCCTGTTTGATTCTGCGGATTGTATCTTGGGTGTTTGGTTTCGTAACTTGTCTATTCCAAGTCAAATTTCCTAAGGTGAAGTCGCGATACCCTCGTCGGGCCA